TAGGACTAGAGGTCTGCATCGGAAGAAGTGAGGCTAGAAGCAGGGCAGAAGCCACCTGGATTGGGGTGTATCCGCGTAGCTTCAGGAGCAGGCTGCCCGGGTTCTCGCGCCAGGAGCACAGGAGCAGGCTGCCAGGGCAGGCTGCAAGTGGGGAAGTGCGCGGGACTCCAGGGGTCACGGCTGTCAGCAGGCTGAGGCTAATCTCTTCCACAAACACAGAGGTATGGACCAGCTCCAGAATTTTTCTCCCGGAGACGTGAGCAATCTAGCTCCTTCCCTCTTACTGAAGGGTACAAACACTTGTTTTCCCTGGACCAATCGCAGGAACCCCGATGCTGTGGTATTTCGTCCCAAATTTCCAGGATCTGACTTTCACGGAGAGATCATGAAGTGTTTCCTATCTTTAAAATTGGTGTTTGTACAGTGGATAAAAATGAAAAAAATCTTCCCTTTTGTAACCTGGAAAACAAATTTGTCACAAGGCCCCAGCGAGATTTGAACTCGCGACCCCTGGTTTACAAGACCAGTGCTCTAACCCCTGAGCTATGGAGCCGCCGTGCGCCCCACTTGTTTACATTGAATCTGTTAAATTCATAAAATCCCAGGTAAATGAGATTTATGTCTAAATAAAATTTAACATATAATTAAAATGCAAAGAAATTTGTTTGGAAGGAAGTACCTCTTTACATATAAGAGAGAAACATTTTCTTGACTAAGTCCAAACTGGAGTGCAAGTCACTGGAGGGGTAGTGCCCACAGTACATGCTCCTCAGCCTCAGCCCTAGAAGTCACAGAGCTCAATGACACCAGGGCCAGGGTGCATGCAGTTCCTTACAGAAGAGAAGTATGCAAGACATGGCATCAGCCACAGTCTCCCTAACCTGCTTGGATTCTTATGGAAGTATTATAATTGCTCCGGCTGTCTTAGACTAAGATTGGGGTTGTTTATAAAATGGAAGGGGCTTTCTCCAAACACAGGACGTACCACTCAGATCTTCAGAGTTTGGGTCCCAGACAGTTTGGACGTGCAGGCATCTGGGCCTCACCACACCTTTCAGTGGAGTCAGGCTCTGTCACAGATTCCTCTAGGTTACCTGAAGCAGACGCTGGCTAGAAGGTGACCAGCCCTTTCCTTGGTCCTTTAATGCTCCTCTTTTTAACAACTTGGAGTCAGGGCCAGAGCTTCTCTCTTGGCCTCCAGGCTCTTCCAAGCTGCCAACCTGAAGTCCAGAACAAATAGAAAATGGCATTGCACAGAAAGGTTGAAGAGGGAGAGCTTCTCTTCTCCCTTTCACTCCTTGGGACTCAGCCTCCCCCGAGTCTGGCGCCTAGTCCATGAGGTCCAGTCATTCATTCACATTCATTCCGGACTCCTCCCATGTACCAGGAAAGTGCTCAGTGCAAGGTAAGCAATGTGACCAAGGCCGACACTTCTCTGCCCTGGGGAAGTTAAAGCTAGAGCCCCAGAACTTCGTTCCCCAAGCAGAAGAGACTGTAGAGTAAGAATAACCCCATCCCTTTCCAACCCACCCATTACCTTTTGGATGATAGAGAAGTGGGCTGCTTTCTACAGAAGAGAGTAATAGGAAGTGAGCAACTTTATCCCAGTGACACTTCCTGTGCACCTTTGAAAGGCGCCTTAAATCTAGACTTACATGGTTAAACAAATCAAGCTGAAAGGAAATGGCAAAAGCACACGTGTGAAGTGTGAGGTGCTGTAGCCAAGTGATCTAAGATAGTGACTTTTAGAATTTAGCTTCTTTGGGAACATTGGTTCAAATTCTTCCCTCTGCCAATCAGTCATCCTTGTTTTTCCTGTGTCCTGTAACCCCAGGCCACCTGAAATGATTCTGGTCCTAACCCTGCAAGTACCCAGACCTCCTGATCCACTCACAGCTTAGTCGGAATCCTGCAATGGACATTTTTACCTTAGGAACGCTGATGCTCAGGTCCTTTTGAATCTGCATCGTGACTCTCCTGTGGTCTAGAGAAAATCACTGGGCTTTTCAGAAGAATCAAGTGAATGCCATGCTACAACTAGAAGGATAAATGAATATTCCTAGGGAAAAATTGTCTCCTAATCCTGGCTCGTTGGTCTAGTGGTATGATTCTCGCTTTGGGTGCGAGAGGCCCCGGGTTCAAATCCCGGACGAGCCCTGTGTCTATCGTTTTCCTTCCCCCTTGGAGACAACAGTCACCGAAAGACGCAATAGCCGCCGCCCAAGGCTAGGTCGGCCGAAACCCCTTTCAACTTCGACCTGTTTCGAGATGAGATTGTTGAGTAAAATGGCCGCTTCTATCGAAAGATTCATGAGCAACGAAGATGCTACCAGGGGCCAAGGGCTTCATCGCAGATGGAGCTCCCAGTCTGGCTCTGACAGGCTCTTCTGTGAGGCGTGGCCTGCTCTGGCACTTCTTCCCCAGGCACTTAGTGTGAAACAAATGGGTGCACTTCTCAGTAGGCACCTTGCATGGGAAAGATTGGTACCTGGAGGTACGCTGGGGCCACACGCCACGACAGAACCCGCTTCCTGAGGCCCTGGTCTCCGCGGTGACCCGGCGTGGGGGTGCGGAGTCTAGCCCCTGCTCTGCCCCTGGGCCTGGTCTGCAGCGCGGGACTGCGCTCTCGGCTCTCTGGGACTGTCTACCCCTCGGCTGCAGGCGCTGTCGCAGTCGTTGGAACGCTGAGTCGCGGCCCGGGGAACCCTAGGGCTTAGAGGGCACAGGCATCCATTCCATTCAAAGGGAGCACGACTTCATTATTTCCGGGTGTTATTTTCCAAAACGCAATATAACACAGTGATAGTCATTCTTTGCCATTTGTGGCAAGAATCCACCCAGACCCTTTAGTATTCTTTGATTGCTCACCTGAAAAACCAGCCTGCTCTACTGTTTGGCCTCTGCCTATAATCCTTGAGCGTGGTTCCATTCTGGTATGTAGGAGTCACACACGCTATGAACTGCTGGAAGGATAAGGCCCTTCGAACTTGCTTGTCTTTCTAAACTGCTTGTACACAGGAATCTTTGACAAGGTCTCCGTGTCATCTGATCATGTTTGTCCTTTCCAAGGTTTCTCCTTCTTTTCCCCCCAAAATTGACATCATTGTAAAATAAAACAAATTTTGAAAATAGATGGTTTTAACATGCTTTATTGTCACAATATGGTAGTGATTACTCCCAGAAATGCTATAAACTGTTACATAGATTCCTCTCTTTGGCCAGTGGCTGAGATGGACTTCAGGGTTTTGTGTTCCATAAAACAAGGTAGTTATTTATTAATTTATTTTTTGAGACAGAGTCTCACTTTGTTGCCCTGGCGTCAGCAATCCTTCTGCCTCAGCCTCCCGAGTATCTGGGATTACAAGCATGTGCCACCATGCCCGGCTAATTTTTTCTATGTATTTTTAGTTGGTCAATTAATTTGTTTCTATTTTTAGTAGAGATGGGGTCTTGCTCTTGCTCAGGCTGATTTCAAACTCCTGACCTCTAGGGATCCTCCTGCCTCAGCCTCCCAGAGTGCTAGGATTACAGGCGTGAGCCACCCCACCAGGCCAAAATGAGGTAATTTTTAAGGCAATTCTATCTCTCCTCTTTGGGCAACACCTCTAAATCACTGCAACCTCCATCTCCTGGGCTCAATTGATCCCCTGCCTCAGCTTCCTGAGCAGCTGGGACTACAGGCACACACCACCATGTCCAGCTAATATTTTCTTTTTCTTTCTTTCTTTCTTTTTTTTTTTTTCTTGTAGAGATGAGGTCTCACTTTCACTCAGGTTAGTCCCCAACTCCTGACCTCAAGCAATCCTCCCTCCTCCTCGGCCTCCCCAAGTGCTAAGATTACAGGTGTGAGCCACTGCGCCCAGTCAGAAGAGTTCTTTTTGCCTCTCAAATCACTGATCATTCTTGCCATTCCTTTAGTACTCAGAAATCTTTTAAAATAAAAAATTTTAGTGTGTTTGTGTGTATTACTAATAGAACTAGATGAAAGCATTACTATTTCCCATGCCCACTGAAGCTTATGGCCATCTCTTTCGATGCTAATGCTTAGTTTGCCAATTTTGCAGCACTATTTTGAGTTTAGCATGCTGCTCCCACCTTGATATTTATTTACGATTTTTTTGTACATTGTTCTTATGTACATAAACACACTTCAACATGGCATTAATTCCTGTTTAATGAATGATGGTCTCCGTGAAACTTCTCTAGTAAGAGAATACACTAGGAAGGGTTAATCAATTTTCATATGATCTCCAATGTCCTTTTATAAACCTGCTCATCATCTCTGTTCCCTTGAATGATTATTTGTCACTTAGTCCTCCCCTCTAAAGTCCAAGATGTTTGAGGTTAGGAACCATTTCTTGTTCATCTAGCACATATTAGTGTATTACAGTATTCAACAAAGATGCCTAATAGACCTTTTTTGAATGAATGAATGAATAAATGAATGAATATCTGTTCCCAACATTCCAAGGACACTGCAAATAGGAATCCCCAGTCTCTTTTCATATATCCAATGAAGTAGATAAAATTTACAAGTCTGGTTCTTGGCAGGTACAACAACAGTTGGCATTCTTAACTCTGATATTAAAGCTCCTCATCCCAATCCCAATTTTACTGAAAACAAAAGATTTAAGACAATAGATATAAAAATGCAAAAAGATAAACAAATGAAAGGGACATAATCCAATGACAAAACAAGTGATGCCTTTAACTCATCTTTGTATAATAAAGTATGAATTAGATGCTATTATTTATGAAATAATCCCTCATTAATTTGCTTTCCAAAGGCAGGTGGAATTGCCATAGAGAAGTGATTAAGTTCTTTATTAAATTTGCTTCACCTTTTTTCCATCTCGTAGTAAATGTCATTTTTTTTTTCCTGGAAAATGTATACAAAAATGTTCAGATAGTCTATTTATTTTTATTTCTTTTTATGGTTTTGAGGAAATTTTTCTTAAAATTCTTGATTTGCATAAACAATTGGAAGGTTCTACTGAGATGCTTAATCAGTTTTAACTTTCGAGGAGAGTGCACACACAGATTCAAATATTGTATTAAAGCTGTGGGTCCTCCTTCCAGACAAAATGCATATATGTTCAAACACATAAAATTTAGATACCTATGGGGCTTATAAATTTTCTGAAACCCATCCTAAGATTTCCCAGGTGACCATGGACCCTAAGGTTAGGATCTCACAGATTGGAAGGTCTTATGAAGTGATGATGATACTGATCATGATGTATCAATAATATTAATAATATGGATTATTATTAGGTATGATATGGAGTCAAGGATTTGCCTGAAAGAGAAGAAGGGTAGGTTTGATGACTTTGGAGTTTATTAATGGTTCCAGAATACAGTTCTTTGGTGATGTCCATGATGATGATGGGAAGGAGAGTAACAATGGAGAATGTTTGGATATAAAACAAGCTGCTGAGTTTCTTCACTTTTACCTTACCGTTTTCTTATTGAGTCTCTTATCAAGGAAAAGATTCCCTAAAATGTCTCCTACCACTTTCCTAAACATGTCCTTCAAAGCATCCTTGACTCGCTCATTACGCAAGGCATAGATGAATGGATTCAGCAGTGGCGTCACAAATGTGGTTACCACTGTCACTGCCCAGTTAGTATCCACTGAGCCACTCTGTGATGGCCGCACATAGAGAAAAATGGCACTTCCATAGAAGAGGGTCACCACCATCAGGTGGGAGGTACAGGTAGAGAAGGCCTTCTGACGGCCCGAAGCAGAGGGGATGCGCAGGACAGCCAGGACTATGTGGCCGTAGGATGCAGCAGTAATCATCAGTGAGGATACAATGACAAGGGAGGCCAGGACAAAGTCAGTCTCCTCCAGCTTCTTGGTGTTGGTGCATGCCAGGCGGAGCAGTGGGCCACTGTCACAGAAGAAGTGCTGTACCACAGCACCCTGCTTACAGAAAGGAAGCAAGGCCACAGCCACTGTGGGACCAAGCACAGGGAGCAGTCCCCCCACCCAGCAGGCCAAGGCCACGCGAAAGCACACAGCCCCACTCATAAGCAAGGGGTAGCGCAGAGGATGACAGATGGCCAGGTAGCGATCCACAGACATGACAGCCAACAGTAGGAACTCAGAGGCCCCAAGAAAGAAGTAGAAATAGAATTGGGTAATACATGCAGCAAAGGAAATAGTGTGTTGCCTTGAGAGGAAATTGCTCAGCATCTTAGGAATGATGACAGAAGTGAGCAGAATCTCTAGGCAGGACAGGTTACCCAGAAAGAAGTACATGGGGGTCTGTAGGCGAGTATCAGCTCTTACCACCCCCACGATCAACACATTGCCTGTCAGAGTCAGCAGATAGACAAGGAGGAACACAGAAAACAGTTCCATTCTCGTGCTGTTGAGATTTGGGAACCCTGCCAGGACGAACTCTGTAGCGCTACTCTGGTTCCCATCAGGAGCCATTATCTTTTCCACCTGTGCAGCAATAGAAACATGATCCTGGTGACAGCAGGTCCTCTTCTTAACACTTCTGAGACTTATTTTATCATGGTATGGCACACATATCCCCACTTTCTCCAATCACAGATCCTGTTAAGATTTGAAGCACCTGAAGTTATCATCGAATGTATTTTAGAGCTTGAGAAGATTTTCTATAAAGGGTAGCTGAAACTTAGGTATGAAAATGTCGGGAGTCTCCATCTTCATATCTCCTGTTCTCAGATCTAAATTAAGATAGCTCATTATTATAATAACAATATCACTGAGCATCTGAGGTAGGCAAAAATACCAGAACAATGATTTTGTGAAGAATATGATTACCATTCAACCAGGATCAGAACTTGAGCCAAACTGCCTAGCTTTGAATTCCTGCGTCTCCACTTACTGGCTGAATAGCCGTGGCAAGGTTACTTAACTCTGTGCTCCTCGATTGTAAATGCTTTAAGGAGCTAATGATATAATAGTGCGAAAGACTTAAAAGAGTTTCCAGCACTTAACTGACAGATAAGGTGGCAGAGAAAGCCCTTGGCTATAAGTTAGGACACCAGAGTCTGGTCTTGGCTTGCTACTACCCTTGGGAGACTATCAGTGAATCTAGCCCTTGTTTGTACATTAACTATCCAGCTGTACGAAGAGTCATAAGAATCCAGGCCATTAGTGTGTCTATTATATGAAATTACCCTTTTCATGGAGAATTTTCCCAATAACCCAAAGGCCTAACTGAACTCAATTGCCATACAAAGTGCTTTCTAAAGCAAGTTATGCCATGTGAAAAAGGGAGAATAGATATAAACTACATTAATTCATTCAATCAATCAGTCTGTCAGTTATCCACACCTACTTATTTTGTGTCAACTTCAAGATAAGTATTTTGGGGAATAAGATGAGTTCCTTAAGCTTTTTCAGTCCATGATATTTACCTTATTGAATTACAAATCCAAGGCCATTTCACAAACTTGGGCTCCATTAGATTATTTGTCAGAGACAAAAGTATTAGTTTCTGGTTGTAATTATTAATGAAATAAAAAATTAACTTCCTATTCTTTTACTCAAGTCCTTTCAGTTCTGAGGGTCACCATCAGTTAGAAAAATCAAATCAATGACATTTGGAAACCTTCTTTTAAAAATGCCTCAGTTATCAGGAAAAATACTGCTTCCCTTCAGCCATGCAATGCAGAAGAATTGATCTTAAGACCCTTGGTTCTCTGTCAGCCCTATTGTTCTCTGTCACATCCCAACGGTCTTTGTTCCCAGGAAGCATTAGGCTCTTTACTTACAATTTCTTACCTGTGGGTCCCACCGGTGTAAATAGGAAAATTTTTGTGCCTTTTGTTGAGGATAAAGCAATTCTGTGGTCTTTCTCCCTAAGGAGTCACTCAGAGTCTCTCTCTCCAACTTCTATAGAAATTGCCTTATTGTCAGCAAAGTCATTCAACTTTTTCTCTGTGTTTATTATATACCAGATGCTGCTGTACTTGGTTATTTAGATAAAAGGAAGACTTTGTCACTACTCTCATGTAGCTCACTACCTAATAAGAATGACAGAAAAATTTAAGATGTGTGACAGATGGAATGCTGCAGGTAAGAATAAGTTACCTTGGTGGCCATAGAAAGGGAACCAAACTGAGACTCAGAGAGACAGGTAGTATTCTGGAGAAAGGTGATGCCTAAAGTAATACTAGAAAAGGAGTATGCCTTTGATAGGAGAGAAGACACAGAACAAGAAGGTGGAGTGCAACGAGATGGGACTGGTCACTTCAAAGGAGACTCTTTCTGGCACTCTGTTGCTCTCTGTGAAAACACTCAATTGAACTGAATCTAAACTATATCTTAAGTGACAGAAAGATGAGTCCCAACACTAAATATGGAAGGAATTTCTCCTACCAACTCCTGAACACCCCTGATGTCTCCAGGAGGGTGGGGATAATCCTGAAAAATTTTTCTTTTCCTTTTTATGATTCAATGTCCTGCTCCATCCTGGAGTCCTTCCCACACCCTGTACCATGTACCATGAGGCAGACAATAGCCTGGCATCCTTGGAGTTACAGAGGATGTGCAAAGCACTTGGGAGAACAAAGAAAACTTGGATTATCTGCTTTTTCTCTTAGGCTTTCCTCACTGATATATTTCCTCAGATGCTGTTGTTTTACCTTGGGAACAGGAGGCTTTCTGATCCCAAGGAGGCTGGATCAAGCTGCCCCTTCATGTGGTCATGAGCAAGTCAGCCATCAGGCCCACCTTTCCCTCCCCGTAGAAAGAATGTCTTGTACAATGTGATCACTGTCTTAGGCTTCAGCAGGCACACTTCAAGCAAAAGAATTATCTCAACAATGCTCCAAGATATGTTACTACAAGAACAATATGGGGCTGGAAGGCAAGTGGTGAATATGGAGGGGTTACATCATTCGTCTCCCACCTTTGAAAAGACTTAGTACACTTACCTATTATTACCATGTCTTCACTTTTTTGCTAATAGGTTTTTTTTTTTGCATAAAGTGTCAGTTTTCTTCTTTTAGACCCCATCCTACCTGACTCCTGGCATTAGTCTGAGTGCAGAGTAGGAGAAGGCTGAAGAAGTCATTGGTTTGTAATCAATCCATCTATTGAAGGGTAGGATCCTTCATGTATAACTTTATTTTCCAGCGGAGATGCCCCAGATGATGATTGACCCAGACATCAGGAACCCAGCTAGCAGTAGTGCTTTCTGGAGAAAGGTTACCTAGATGGTAAGAAAATAAGACCATAGAGACAGAAAAGATAATGATCATTCCTAAGAGTCCCAGGGGATATTTGCAACTCAATGGAAATTTCCAAGACTCTATACCGGATAAATCTGGGCAGGGAGAAGGCTGACCCTTCATTGAACAAAGGGTGACTGGGAATATTTCTGCATTTGTCTTCAACTACCTAAATCCAGGCTGCTGCAAAAGTTCAGGGGCATTAGCAATGGGAATGAGGGAAAGGATGGAGTTTGGCCAACCATAGAAGTCTGTGACCATCATCCACCTTTCTTCTGCATGGCACTCGGGGGAAATGATTATATCCCAAGTAACACAGACATTGTGTCTTCTCCTTGAGGACTTAAAATGATATGGGAATCCCTCCCCTGGCTTCTGGGTTAGGAAAGGATGGGATCCCCAAGGGCATGACAAGATAAGGAAAAGTTCCCTGCATCATCTACAAGCTTTCTCTACTGCTTCTCCCAGCCTTGTACTTTATCCTCTAGTGATAATATATATGATTTCACACACTAAAACATTATTTAGAATTCTAGACCATTGTTCATATTTTCTACTTGGGTCCATTCTATGTCCCTTACTAAAGACTTGACTACCTCCTATTCATGTTCCAAGACCCAGTTTACTCTAATGCATATTGGTTCTTCTGAAAGCTTCCCTTACCACCCCCACCAATCTCACCCCCCTACCCACTCCCCAACCTGAACCAGGTCCTTCTGACCTCAATCTCAATATTTAATCCATTGTTTTATAACTTTGCATTCTTGTCTGTACCCGCTGCTAGACTCAGAATTCCTAGGGCAGGAATATTTTCATCTCTGTATTTCTAGCACCAATCACAGTGCCTGACACATACTAGGTGCTTAATAAACTGCATGTGAATGAAACTGCTCTAAACCCCAGACTTGAGGAGCAGCTGTTCTTGTGGGATGAATACCTGTTAAATCTTGAGCTGACAGTAAGAATACACAGGACCCTTGGCACTCAGTTTGTCTGAAGTCCATCCTTTCTGGACATACTTTTTCTTTTAAAGAAAAGAAAATATCTAAATGGAAACATGAGTGGGGCATGGGAGCTGTCATCACAAGATTCTAAGGAAGGAGTAAGAACAAAGACTGGGAGAATTAGCTGAGCTAAGCCAAACAAGACTAAACTAGAAACTAGAACTATTTGTTGAGCTGAGGGAAGGAGGAAGGTCTAAGAATGAGAAACTATGATGTTTGAGAACTAGTACACTTAAAATACACATGTTTTTAAACCCTGCTTGAAGTTTGAGGGTTAAGGCTACTGCAGAAAGAGATGACAGATTAAAGTCAGGTAATTTGTGGAAAAAAACAAAAACAAAAACAAAAACAAAAAACATGTAGCTATTTGTCCAAATGACAAGGGCTTTATATTTAGCTTATCATACTTTCAAGCTGATTTTATCATAGAAATTTCTTAGTTTTTCCATGAAAGTGATAGCATGCTAGAAGAAAAAAAATTATTTTTAAAGAAGCTTACTTACATGGTTCAAAAATAAAAACACCAAACTGTATAGATTAAAAGATCCTAGTCCCCAGGTTGGGTGCAGTGGTGGCTCATGCCTATAATCCCAGCACTTTGGGAGGCTGAGGCAGGAGGATCACTTGAGGCCAGGAGTTCCAGATCAGCCTCGGCAACACAGCAACACATTGTCTCTAAAAGAAAAAAAAGTCCTAGTCCTCCCACCATTCTTATCCACCTCATCCCCCTTCCCTAATTAACCATTTTCATTATTTTATTGTGCAATCTTCAAGTATTTTTTGTGTATATACAAAAAAATAACAAACTATTTACTTATTCACCTGTGACTTTCTTACACTGTTCTGCACCTTGTTTCTTGTTTTTCCTTAAAAAAATTTCTCTGTCTGTACATAGAGAACAGAAGAAAATGTTTACGCTAAGGAGATTATTAGCATGACAAATCTATTGATGAATGAATTGCAATATTCTTGAATTATACTTCTGCTTTAATTGTTCTTTGAATCTCTTTTGCTTCAATTTTCCTGATCAGTAAAAATCCTATTGTGGTAGAAATTGTATCCAAAAATCTAATAGTAACTTTGTAAATAAAAATGAGTTAGAGCAAAATAATATGACATCTAGAACTTGCTTCAAAATAAAGTGGAGGGTATAGATAAAACTTACTTGGCCATGAACTGATAATTCATGGAGCTATATGTCAGTTATGCTGTGATTCATCATACTATTCTCTCTATTCTTAGTATGTTTAAAAATTTTCATAATAAAAAGCCTCATAAATATTTAGTGACAATCAGGTACATATTTAAAGAAGACTTTAAAGTTTTGGAAATGCAAGATTTCTTCACTTAAAAATTAATGAATGTCAGAAACACTTCCCAGAAGATGGAAACTCTAATTCTACAAAATTAACCAACCAGGCACGGGGGAATGTCAAATACCATGTGGGCTACTCAGAGCCAGAAAATGTAAAAATGTAATGAACTAACAACTCCAAGAGGAATTCAACCCTCTCAGCAACAACCTGCTTTCTGATCCAGAGGGAGTGAAGGCAATATGGAAACACATATGTACACACAGAATCACAGTTCAGAATGAGGAGATTGGATTAAAATAATAGATTAAATTCAGATCCCATCTTTTTCATGTGACAAATTTCTTAAAATAAAATTTAAGGCTGGGTATGATGGTTCATGCCTGTAATCCCATCACTTTGGGAGGCTGAGGAGAAAGAATTGCTTGAGGCCAGGAGTTTGAGACCAGCCTGAGCAACACTGCGAGACCCCATCTCTACAAAAAATAAAAACTCTAGCTGAGTATGGGGGCATACACTTGTAGTCTTAGCTACTTGGAGGCTGAAGCAGTAAGGCAGGAGCCTTCCTTGAGGCCAGGAATTCAAGTTTGCAGTGAACTACGATGACTGTACTCTAGCCCAGGCAACAGAGCAAGATCCTGTTTCAAAAAAAAAAAAAAGAAAAAAAAAAAGAAAGAAAGAAAGAAAGAAAGAAAGAAAGAAAGAAAGAAAGAAAGAAAGAAGAAAGAAAGGAAGAGCAAAATCTTTTTTTACTCTAAGTTTGTGTAAATACACTCTATGATGCAACAATAAAATTGCCTAATGATGCATATCTCAGAATATGTCCCTGTTGCTAAGAGACACATGACTGTATATGAGGGTCTTGGCTGAAGACAATCTTTTAGAACATAGAACTGAGAGATAAAATATATGAGAGTAATGTTAAGAGACATGGAAGTTAAATACAGAATGCCCAACATATATCTAGTAGGAACTTCAGAAAATAACACAAATGGAGGAGATAAAGAATAGAAGAAGGCCCATAATACCAAGAATTCTATTTTCAGCTTAAATAGCAGTCAGAAGAGAGTCCAAATTGCAGATGCCTGCAGTGTTCTAGTACTTAAACCCTCAGATTCATGGATTCATTCTAAAGAAATTACTCAAGGTTGTACTGCTGAAAATGGAAAATAAAATCATGAAACAGTGAGATACAAAACAGATTTATGAGCAAAGAAGTAGAATTTAGATAAAAATTTAAATAATTATTGAGATATTATTTTCATACACCATGGATTCAATTTCTAACATTTTACTCAAATATTTCATCTAGTTTCATAAAGAATATTGGTTATAATGTCACCTAATAGCCATTAAAATCAATGACTTAAGAGATAAAAGTCCAGATTATATAAAAATGTGAAGATAGTAGAGAGAGTAATAAATCAAAAGCTAAGATTCTTACTTGCCTTATTCTGAGTAAAATTAACCATGCCCATTGATAGAAGCTATTAATTTATATGTGGGTTAAAAATGTAAGGAGAAATTCTACTTTTGGCCATGACGCAGTAACAGGAACTAGATTTACCTTAACCCTAGATAACTTTAAAACGAACAAAATATGTGAAACAATGATTTTCATAAATTAGACAATAGGCAGTACATAGCAGTGATACCTAAGAGAAGAAAAATAAGGGTTAGTCCTATAAAATATTTCTCCAGTTGAAAGGTAATTTCCAGCCTTAATTGCAGAGAGAGCAACCCAAAGAGACACATCATTCTCAATGAGTTGAGAAAACAAAATATTCGCAAAGTATGCAGCCCATAAAGGGTAATATCCACAAAGAACTCAATCAAATTAGCAAGAAACAAAAATAAACCACCCCCTTAAAAAGTGGGCTAAAGACATGAACAGAAGTTTTCAAAAGAAGATAGACAAATGGCCAACAAACATATGAAAACAATGCTTAACATCACTAATCATAAGTGAAATGCAAATTAAAACCACAATGAGACCAGCCTGAGCAAGAGTGAGACCCAGTCTCTACTAAAAATAGAAAGAAATTAATTGGCCAACTAAAAATATATAGAAAAAGTTAGCCAGGTATGGTGGCATATGCCTGTAGTCCCAGCTACTTGGGAAGCTGAGGCAGAAGGGTTGCTTGAGCCCAGGAGTTTGAGGTTGCTGTGAGATAGGCTAACGCCAAGGCACTCTAGCCCGTGCAACAGACTGAGACTCTGTCTCAAAAAAAAAAAAAAAGTCAAAATACAATGAGATTATCACCTTACCCCATCAGAATGGTTATTTTTAAAAAGTCAAAAACAATAGATGCTGACGAGGATGCAGACAGAAGGGAAAACTTATACACTGTTGGTAGGACTGCAAGTTGGTACGACCTCTGTGGAAAACAGTATGGAGATTCCCCAAAGAAATATATATATATTTTTATCTTCTTTTTTTTAATTTTATTTTTTATCTTAGTGTATTATGGGGGTACAAGTGTTAAGATTACATATATTGCCGATGTCCCCCTCCCCACTTGAGTAAGAGCTTCAAGCATGTCCATCCCCCAAACGTTGTACATCTTACTCATTGTGGTTGTATACACCCATCCCTTCCTCCCCCCTTCCACCCTCCTGACACCCAATAAATGTTACTCCTATATGTCTACTTAGGTGTTGATCCGTTAATACCAATTTGCTGGTGAGTACATGTGGTTCTGGTTTTTCCATTCTTGAGATACTTCACTTAGAATGGATTCCAGCTGTATCCAGGAATATACAAGAGGTGCTATATCACCATTGTTTCTTAAAGCTGAATAGTGCTCCATGGTATACATATACCATGTTTTAGTAATCCACTCATGAATTGATGTGTTAGAGACTAAGACCCTCTACATTTTAACGACTTGTCTTGACTTGTCTTACGCAAGAGCCTGGCCTCTGGAAAATAGCCTAAGACGAAAATAGCACCCAGCCCCCCAGCTAGAGTTCTGAGAAGAATGCATTCCATGACGTGCTTGCTCCAGGGCATGCTACCTGCAATTGTTCCCGACCCCCTGCCAGGTTGGGGTTGAGTAATCCATCACAAACAGCTTC